CCCCAATATAAAGTCATGATATGTTAAGTATGACGCTACAGTTAAAGGCATTACACGGGACAGGACAGCTTCAATATCCAGATATTCTTTTCGTCACGAATGGTGTTTGGAGCTTCGAGTTTTATCAGAGTGAGCAGTACCGACGCTGCCTGAAGCCAAGCCCTGAGCCCCCCGGCGGACCCCCCCAGATGTGGCCTCTGTCTTACCTCCCTTCCTGTCCTCGTTTGTCTTTGWGGTGTCTTTCACCTTGCCTGTCTCCTGCGAGGCCCCTTTTATGGGCCCCAGCACTGTTTTGGCCACGCTTGTGAGCTGCGTAACGAAGCTGGCTTTGTCTCCGGGGGACATGGGCCTGGACTTGTTGGGTGGGGGTGAGACTGAGGAGGGGGACACGGGGTTCTCTTCCAGGGCCTCCAGGTGAGCCCTCTCCTCCCTGGGGCCTCGGTTGCTGACTGCGGGCCGCTCCGCTCGGTGTCGGGCAGAGGAGGAGGGTTGAACCTGGGCTGGAGCAGAGGGTGCAGGTCCTTTGGTTTTTGTAGATTCAGTTGCTTTATCGCTCCCACTGACTCCTCCTTTCTCTCCGACCTCCGGGCCTTTACGATGTTTGGACTGCAAGTTAGCTTTGTCCCCYACTCCAGCACCCTTTTCCTTCTCTTCTACCTTTTCCTGAGCTTTGGTTGCAGGTCTGCTGTCTGTCTGYGRCTTGGTGTCYTGCTGCCGGCTCTTGGATGGACCTGGACTTGAGGTTTTCTCACTGGGTTTACTCTGGCCGACTGCTGCCTCGGAACTTAAAGCGTTTGGAGGTTTGCTCCCAAGACTGGACTTGGTCTCTCTGTGTGAAGGAGCAGATTTCATTCCGACTGCAGCGGAGGATGAAGCCTTGCTCGTTTCCACCACACTGGTCTTAGGCTCTGCTGGGGGAACCTTCCTCTCACTTTGCCYGGCATGCTCAGGTGCTGACGTGATCTTATCTTTGTCCTTATTTGCTACGAGCGCGTCCCTACTTAGCGGCGATTCCTGCCTCCCCAGCCTCCTCACCTGGTTCAGGCCCCCCATCTCTGCTCCGGAAGGAGGAGAGGGAGAGGAAGATGAGGATGGAGATGGAGGAGCGGGTCCGTTCTCTCCTTCAATCTCAAGTAAACTCTGCAGACTGTGTTCACAGTGGAAGGACTCTCTCCTGTAGTCCCCGTGGGTCACCTCCAGGCTATGCTTCCGCAGAGACACCCCACCCGTCAGCGGAGACGGCGATGATGATGAAGACGAGGAGGAAGGTAGGACGGGCGTCCCTAGCTTCTCTGCGGACTGCACCCGCTGCAGCAGGGGGGACCTGGGCGGCTCGGCCGACTTGGGCCGAGGGCGAGCGACGGGAGGCGAGGAGTGCAGCTTGGCGGGGAACGTTTGGGTGGTGTTGGAGCTCCCCACCGTGTGTCCGGTGAAAGGCGGTGGGGAGGAGGTGGTCGGGGATGGGGTGTGGGCCAGAGGGGACAGCGGGATGTTGCCGGCGGACTTACAGCGAGCGGAGCGGTACTGTCGGTGGAGTTTAGGGGACAGGCCGTGCAGGGAGCTGGGCCTCATGTGGTGAGACGGAGCCGGGGAGTTGGGCGTGCTCGACGCCGCGGAGCTGCTCTGAGACGACGTACCTGAGGAGAGGAGAGGAAATAGTTTTGAGTACAATTAGCAGCCGTGTGTGGTTTTGTYCCAATTCTTTCTTTGGTTGTTTTTTTTTTCTGACCCAGGTACGTGGATTCCAGTGTGGAGCGGTAACTCTGTGTGGGAGAACGGGCCGACAAGCTGTGGGTKGGGGATCCTGGGAGACTGTCTCCAGAGGACAGAGATCGGTTCAGAGAGGAGAGGCTCCGGCTGGTGTGAAGCAGGTTGGACTGCTTTGTGATTTTCCTGAACAGGGAGCTGCGTTTCTTACTGAAAGATAAAATAAGACCAGGTGAAGATACGATCGTCACAACAAGAAATTATCAAGGGTGTCAAGAGTCAGCTTACTTCAGTCAAACCCAAAATAAAGTCGTAACTTTTATTTTGTAAGAATCTAAGCTGATAAAATGTTAATATTTTGATGTATAAACTTCAGTACATAAGTTAGACAATTAGAAAACCCCTGCTCCCAGAGTGGACATGATTTATTTAATGGCATTTTGTAACCCACTGACTAGCTTAAAAACCTGCTTATTTATTAGAAATTGGCTGTGTGAGAATGGCTCTGTGGGAAATGAGAGGTGCATGTATGACGAGTGTTGTATTGAATAATAGGTGCTTTGATTTATTCCGTATCCTTGATATTAAGTGTCACTTTTCAACAGGAGCACTCAGCCTACTGAGAATCTTAAGTTTAAGTGGTTCAAATTTTATTTAGTTTGTATTTTCACATCAAGAGATGCTATTCAATTCTGTATTACTGTTTTATTTTTCAGCAAGTTTGGGTCATAAACTTCAACTCTGACTGTGTTAAAACTCTTAAAGGTACAGTAACTACTGTATTTATTTGTGCATAATGCAAAACATTTAACCCAAAAAATCATCCGTAACGTTGGGGGATTGTATACACAGAAGCAAATTCTGACAGATTTTTTGCGTGTTTTTTTACTACATTAAACGTTAATATTTTATTGTATATAACTGAAATATTGTGTTGGGATTAATCATAACTTCTCCTTCTGCCCTCCCACTGTTGAATATGTTGTGCACAGCTAAGCTTATAAACAACAGTAGTTGTTTTTTTTCACTCTGTGATGTATCAGATGTTTGAAGACAGGCTCGTGTTGTTAGGATGAGGAGTCGGAAATTAAGGAAAAAATGTCAATTCACTTTATTTATGTAGCGCCAAGTCACAGCAAACGTCTAAAACAAATCAATCTAAGGAAGCCAGCAGATTGTGTTGAATCACTTCATCCCAGTCTCCCCTCCTGAGCAGCACATTGGTGACAGTGGAGAGGAAAAACTCCTTTTTAACAGGAAGAAACCTCCAGCAGCACCAGGACGAGCGGCCATCTGCTTCGACCGGCAGCAAAAGAATACACGAATGTCTGTTGCACATCTGTGTGCTCAAAGAGCTGCTTCTCAAAGTTGTCCCATCTTGCTAATTGAACAACCTGCTTCTGCCCTGGGAGTGGATCATTTGCAGTGACATACAGAATCTCACACAGTCACAGGTGTGTGTCCCCAAAAATAATGTTTCCACATGCAAAGACCGACAAATCATACAGTTAGGGGTATCRTAATGCTGCATTCACACCGAATGTGATTTGAGTGTCAAAAATGCGTCCAATGCCTCAAGTTGGACACTTGTGCACTTTGAGGTCAGACGTTTGTGAAAACTGTTCTTGACGCGTGTGAGCCTCTTGTTTTCCTGCTCTGCCAATCTCTGTTTAATGGTATGTTAAATAAAGAAAGTGTCTTTGTTGTATTTACTGAGAGCAGGAGCACGTAGAGCTCACCAGATAATTAATTCATAATTAATTCACCAGATAGTTCAGAGACGTTCTGAGTTTGGTGAGTTTCACCACTCCAGRAGCTGCAACAAGGCTCACTTTCAGAAYTATTTTTGTCCTGAGCCCAGTTTGACGAGCTGCTGACCCACATCGGTGCCGATATCTCCTGCCAGGACACYGACTACAGGCACTCGATTTCAGCTACAAGAGCTCCTGTCCATCTGGCTCAGGTTAGTGCAGTGTTTCCCAAAGTTGGGGTCGGGACCCAAAGTGGGGTCCCGAAACATCAAGGTGGGGTCCTGAAAAGATTTTCTGAATTAATTACATTTTTGCCTTAGTTGTTACAAAGTGTTAGGTTAGTATATTTAAACTGGATAAATGTAGTATATAAATATTGTTACTATGCCCATGTTTAGTTGACCTGATACAAATGTTTATCATCCAAAAATATCTGGGGGCTCAGGTCTCTGCTACTGTTATTTTGTGGGTCAAAAACTGAAAAGTTTTGGAACCACTGCACTTTGGTTCCCAAAGTTGGGCTAGGGATCTAATTATGAGTCATGAAGCACCTTGGATAATCTCCAGAAATCAATTTAAAGGGTAATAAAATAATTGCTGATGTAATATTTTCCCTATAATTATTACAAAAACTCAAAATAAGTATAAATAAGTATTTATATTTGTGTATAAGCTGTTTAGATTGTCAAAAAGCCTGTGTTTTTAGGGTTATTAATGAAGTTTGTGTACTCAGACCAGTAATATTTGGGGTCACAAGTTTTTGCCATGAATATTTTGTGGGTCAGAAGACAAAAAGTTTGGGAACCACTGGGTTAGTGGACATCATTCAGGAAACTCTCCTCTCAGAAAATGTGTCACTATGTCACACAGTGGAGTCTCTCTGATTGGTTGATGCGCCGCTTCGAGCTACAAAAGTTCAARTTTTCCAACTCCGTTGTTTGACATGTGTCAAACACTCGAAATGCTTCTAAACACGYCACTCTAGATGTACCACAGCACTTTCCGACACCCTTTGACACGTGTCCACCATAGACTTTGCATGTAAACCTGATGCTCGAAACACCTTCGTTGTGACCACAGCATTATACACGAGGCGGTCACATTAAACTTGTGTAGGGTAAAGACCCGTCCAGCTTTCTGTGGCCGGTTTAAAATTTGCATGATGTTTCGACTGTGATGCTTTTATTTGTACTCACTTCATCAAAATYACATTAATCACGTAGTTTTATATGTAGAGTTTATTTTTCACAGTAAAGTCACAGCATAAGATTCCTCACTGGGCTGCACGTTTCGATGCATTATATTGTGAATATTTTTCCAAAGCAGTGAGGAGGGATGAATCAAAAATCATGTCAGAAATTAACAGTTGAACAGTAATAACTGTGTTTAAATGCWAATGTATTAGCACCATTAATAAACAATGGGAGTAAATGTTCCTTAATTACGCACTCTTGTCCCTCCTTGACTCCTGTCCTCTTGCTGCGCCGTGCCATCTTGGATTTGTAGCTGGACTTGCGTGCAGGGCCCACTTTTATCGAAGTGTTCTCGAAGGGAGTCGTCGTGACCGTCACTTTGTTTCCACTCTGTGGACGACACACATTTGCGCACATTTAATCYTAGTTATTGTGTGGGAATATTTGAAAACAGAGTTCAGCTGAAATGTCTCCCACCTTCAGGATGAGCTCCACCACCTCTGTGTGGACCAGGCCGTGGACCGACTCCCCGTTTACGTGAGTGATGAGGTCACCGGCTTTAAGTCCAGCCTCCTGGGCGGGGCCTCCATCCTCCACATGCTGGAAGAGGAAGAGAGCATTTAATTAAACTCATTTTCACTTTAACATCAACTACATATGGTGTGGGACGATGCTCCGTATCACCTTTCATTTTCAACAACATAAAGAGCTTATTAGAGCCATGAAGAGCTTGTGTGCTGCTCTCACCCAGACCATGTGGTGCACGCTGTAAACATCACTGTCTCCGATGTAGACCCGAATAGCCCGAAGGGTGAAGCCGTACTTCTTCCCGGAGCGGTGGATGGTGATGGGAGAGTGCTGGACGTTCACTGTGGGGCAGAAGTCACGGCTGGGGGAGGAGTCACGAGACGAGGGGTTGGACGAGAGGGAGCGAGGCGACATGGGGCTCGGCAGAGAGGAGGCAGAGTGTTGCTCGACTGCGAAGCAAAGGTTCGAGTTAAAATAATGCTTTTGTTTGTYGATCGGACTAAAGTGACACACAGCTTCACCTGCTGGAATGATGACAGACAGCGCCGTCGCAGAGGCAGATTTGATCACTTTAGTTCCTGGTCTTGAGATTGGTTTCTCTCCCTCCACGGAGAGCTGTTGATGTCGGACCCTCCGCAGCACCAGGTCTGTGGTGGCCCCGCGGGTCCCCTGGGGGTCAAGAAGTCCCAGACTTGGCAGAGGCAACGATGCATCAGCAGGTCTCAAATGTTTGTCTGTGATAAAAAGAGAGAATAAAAGCCTGCGGTGATTAAATACTCATGTTTAGATTACAAATCATAGTTCACGTTCCCTCTGACCTCCTGCAGTGATGCCGTTACCGTCTTTCGACAGCAATTTTGGATCTTCCAGGGAAGCACCTCTGGTCCTTACAGGGGGCTGCTTGGCTGACATAAACAGCTCAGAGTCCAGCTCTAAGGGGGAGGCAAAGCGGTAYGTGTCCATCAGGGCAGAGAAGCGTCTGCGGGCCCCTGATGGTGGGCTGGAGTCGCTCTCAGTGAAGAAAGACTCGGAGCAGGATAAGCGCTTCCTGAAAATCAAAAGCAACATTTCAAGCAGTGGTCCTCGAGGCCCACTGTCCTGCATGTTTTGGATGTTTTTCTGCTTCACTTCAGCTGCTTTGAATAAATGAGTGATTAACAGGCTTCCACAGAACCTGAAGACCTGCTGAGGGGCAGGGAAACAACTAAAACATAACAATAGTGGTCCTTGAGGATCAGGACTGTAGATCACTAGTTAAAATCACTCAGTGAGACTAAGCTACATGTTGTTTTTTTCACACTCACATCTCAGGAGAACCGGTCCTCCAGCTCTTGTCTCTGAGGGTGACTCCTCCCAGGCTTTCTCTCTTGGCCACCCGGTCCTCTCTGGGGACTTTGTGCTCCCGCAGAGTCACAGTGTGAGGTTTGTGCTCCAGCTGAGACAGGTGCTCCATGCTGCTGTACACCTTCAGGTCCACACAGAATCTCAGTTAGTGCTTTCAAGCAACGATGACGAAACGAAACAAACAAAAAAGGAGAGTTTATACGAGTGTCAGGTCTGGACCTTGCTGAAGCGAGGGGAGCAGGACGAGAAGCGATGCATCTCCACAGGCTCGTCATCGTTGGTGTCGTCTTCATCGTACGACTGGACGTGATGGTAGCGCTCAGAGCGGGCTGACGGTGAGAAGAGGCAGATGCAAATGTAAAGATGCAAACCCCAAAAAAGATAGAGCTCGATGCCAACCGTTGCCAATGTCCCCCGTCGCGATTCAGTAGTGACCAACTGTTATCAGTTTAGTTGGAATCATCACAGGCCTTCATTATTTAAATCATCTCATAAGGTGAACAGATGGATGGATGGGGGTTTAAAGTGATCTTGTCAAACTACTACACAAATGTGTTGGGCAGGTCTCCCATATGATGCACACAAAACTTGGTTCAGATCGGATCATGTATGTGTGAATGAGAGCTAACGGTGTGCAAATGGCAAGGCATCAGCATTCTCCACTCTGCCACAGCCACACCATCAGTGTTGAGAAGCATGTGGAGTCTGCATGTTCAAAACTGTAGGGGGAGTTAGCTCAGTTACATATGCATGAAAAGAGACAAACTGGCAGCTTTGATCCAAAATGGCCGACTTCCTGTGGGGTTTGGACCACGACTCCAAGAGACTTTTWGTAGGTCCTGAGCAGTTACACATCTGTACCAAATTTTGTGATTCCAGGTCCAAGCATGGCTTGGGGCTTATTTTTTAATTTTTAGGGAGCACTGTGGAGGAATTAGGTCACGTCCCCCAAATATTGGACTGCATTCCTGCAGTGGGATGGATTAGGATCGACCATAATGAATTTGGTGCAGATTGGCTGAAATATGTGGAATTTAGAGGGAAACGTATGTCAACGGTGTGATGTCTGACTTCGCCGCACCACCATGACCACACCTTTCAACAAAAAGTCTTTGTGCTTGAAAACAAGTGAGATCAACCTATTATCTGTGTTCTGACACAATTTGTTGCTGATTAGGCCCGGAGGGTCAGAGATGGAGCTTTCCAAGCAAAAAAGGTCACTACTTGTTGTCAGGGGGTGGGGCTTTKATGATGTCATATAACCACATGGTATGGTTGGGCATGCAACAAGGACTCATACCAACTTTGGTGTATTAGCCTTTGWGTGTGAAAGTTACAGATGTCTGAAATTGTAACAAACGGACGGAGAGCATTAAGTCCCCCGCTTCGGTGATGGGGGACAATTAGACTCAAAGCAGATAGTAAACTGACACATTAAAACCCAATATTTCACATTTCTCTTTCTGTATTTAAATAACATGAAAGAGTTGAAGCGTGTGTTGTTGGCTTTTTCACAACTTCCTGCCAGGTGAACTCACTGTCAAAATAACTGGTGTCTTCCTCTGACTCCAGGTGAGGAATGAACTCTGCTTTCTGTCTCAGCAGGCTGTTCCAGTCCACCTCGGCGAAGAACGAGTGCTGCTTCACTTCAAAAGCACCACCTGGAGGGGCAGTGGAGATGGGGTTGGGTGCATACATAAGAAAGGAGCAGGTGGAAAAACAAGATAGCCTGCAGAGGCACTCTGACCTTGACAGAAGCTGACTGATTTAGGTAAACCTAACCCACAAGCTGGAATAAATGACTCTTCTGGGTTGGCGTGTAGCATTCAAGGACAACTTCCAGTATGGAATGAATTTATATTTTTTATTAAAGTGACAGTTCAGATTTTTTGAAGTGGGGTTCTGTGAAAGAGGTATGAACAACGAATATCTTATCTGTTGTAGGTACTGCTTTTTGAATGACCTCTGTTGAGTAKAGTTTTATTTTGACTGAACTTAGAAGCTATTGGCTCGTCAGGGCGCAGTCCAGACCAGAATAGATTTGTACCATCCACAAGTTTAGACAAGTTTATTTTTAAATTGCATATTTTGTCTAACTCTACGTGCCAAAACAAACAAAGCTGAGCAAAGTAATGACATTTCAAGGTGGTTAGAAATGGAAATGAATGAGAAGTCAAGTTAATTTTATAGAATTCCAATAAATGCCTGAGAAACACATAATATTGTCCCTTTAAGATATTTTTGTGATTAATCGCAAGCAATTAATTTTTTTTTTCTATGACTGTAATTTGCAATACACTCCATGTGCAGCCCAACAACAAAGACTCTCATTGGTTGAGACACGAGATGATGCACATCTAAAGCCAATAGTGATCAAGAGCCCCCGTGTGACCAATAATAAATATGCTTTATTACTCGTAGTAATAGTTTACTTTTAGTTACTGACTGACTTTGGGTCTGGTTTAGATCATTATTTATAAATTATATATTTTTCTGGTATAAATCTGCTGTTGTGCATTTACATTGTTGAATGAAATTAATATAGTTATTAATTTATTGTAAAAATAATCACAGATAATTTGTGACACAGGTCCAGTTCGGCTTGCTTACAACTGTGAGAAGTTACCCTGTTACGTGGCCATTTTTGCTCCTCCCTGCTGTCACACATGCTAACAGTGGATGAGATACTGTAGGTAGGGCTCAGTCTAGGGCAATGTTTCCCAAAGTTGGGGTCGGGACCCAAAGTGGGGTCCCGAAACATCAAGGTGGGGTCCTGAAAAGATTTTCTGAATGAATTACAGTTTTGCCTTAGTTGTTACAAATGAGTGAGGTTAGTATATTTAAAATGGATAAATGTAGTATAAAAATATTGCTACAATGCCCATGTTTTGTTGACCTGATACAAATGTTTATCACCCAAAATTAGTTGGGGACACAGGTCTCTGCTACTGTTTTGTACTATTTTGTGGGTCAAAAACTGAAAAGTTTTGGAACCAGTGCACTTTGCTTCCCAAAGTTGGGCTTGGGACCCAATTATGGGTCATGAAGCACCTTGGATAATCTCCAGAAATCAATTTAAAGGGTAATAMAATAATTGCTGATGTAATATTTTCCCTATATTTATTACAAAAACACAAAATAAGTAAAAATAAGTATTTATATTTGTGTATAAGCTGTTTAGATTGTCAAAAAGCCTGTGTTTTAGGGTTATTAACGAAGTTCATGTACTCAGACCAGTAATATTTGGGGTCACAAGTTTTTGCCATGGATATTTTGTGGGTCAGAATACAAAAAGCTTGGGAACCACTGGTCTAGGGTTATTTAAGTCAATGCCTCCGCACCCTTGCTTCCAGTGGCCTAGAYTTCTGCCATCTTAAAACAACTCCGTCTCATAAATTCCATAGTGGTTCATGAGAATGTTACTTTAGAAACTTTTATATCTCTGTCAGTTTCTCACTACACATTTACTTGTATAAAAATCCATGCTTATTTACAAGTGTAAAAAAACAGCAGCTAGCTGTAGCACAAAATATGTAATGCAAAATTGATGGCTTTGTAGATGTACATTTAATTATTACTTTATGAAARCTCATTAAATTTATTAAATTAAAACAGACCGATGGTTAAGCAACAATTAACTTCTTGCCTACCTGTCTGCATTTATCTCTTTTACAACACACAACAGTAACAGCAGTCCATTAAAACGAGGCAGGAGGACACTGGAGCCACTTAAACATCTGCTGGTTGTTCAAACATGTATCTATGAGAAGAGCTGAACAAATGCAGCTTGAACTAAATTCAAGTTTCTTCACTTGTGTCCAGTGGGAATCTACGAGTTCCTTTTATGAAGTTAAGTAGAGAAAAGAGCTTGATTCCTTCCTCCAGAACACTGACCTGTGCCCAGTCTCATAAGAGGATTTGTCTGCAGCAGAGAGGAGATCAGGTGCTGCGCGTCAACAGGAAGAGCATCATCACCTTCTGGCCACACAATGTCRTCTGCAGCAAAGAGAAACACACTTTTTGGTAAAAAGTGATGAGATTTTATGGAAGAATGCCTGTTTGAGGTAGGATATCTGGTTTATTTTCTACAATCAGCGGGTCTTTACACCTCACCTGTAATGACCTGTCCAAACAACTCCTCTGGAGTGTCCCCAAAGAATGGCACACAACCCACCAGGAACTCATACAGGATGATGCCCATCGCCCACCAGTCCACTGGCTTCCCATACCCCTGACGGAGAATCACCTCTGGAGCAATATACTCTGGAGTCCCACATACCTGAAAGAAAAGCAGAACTTGATTTACTCACACTGTTATTTATCTTTCTTCTTCTGCTGATTCGCTGAGTCAGCACTCACACCGTTATATGCTTCTTTACAGTTTCGTCTGTACATTTTTTGCAATTAAACTATTTCTGTATGTTTTGTGCTGTTTTACCTTCTTGTCCGGGAATGGTGTGTTCTGACTTTTGTTTTTTGTCCACTTTTGTTTTTTGTCACTGTTACACTTTTTGATTATCTATGTTGAAAGGAAATTTCATATAAACTCAAATGTTTTAAATTCTTTCAAAAGTGCATTTTAAATCTGCCTTAGCATATTAGCGTGGTTTTGTCTTCTCGTGCTAATTAAAGCTACCATTCTGCTAAATTTAGCTACCAGATTGCCACTTTTAGATTATGACTGATGTTCCTCTTTTAGCTATTAGCTGCTGTTCTGTTGTATTTAGTTACWATTTTCCTAATATTAGCCTCTGTTTTGATAATTTTAGCCTCTGTGTTATTAAATTTAGCATCACTTTAATGAAKTTTAGCTAATTTGCTGGTTTAGCATGTATTGTTGTTATAGCCTATTTTGCTCATTTGAACCTCCGTTTCATTAATTTTAGCATCATTTTTATGAATTCTAGCATCAGTTTTATGAATTTTAGCCACTGTTCTGCTTGTTCAGATTGTTTTGGGGGTGTATTTTAGCTTCTGTTTTGTTTGCTTTTATTTTGACACCTCAGTTTTATTTATTTAATTGTTTTTGGTCAATTGCAGCAAAGTCATTCTGGTCTCAGCATTCAAACAGCATTTTCACAGAGAATGTTGAGTTGCAGTCCTGTAAAGAGGATTGTGTTGAGCCAAGTAAATCACCTCAGACATGCCAGGACTGGGTGAAAGCCTCAGTGTGTCTTTTTTAATTWATTTTTTTCATGTGCAAATTCTACAAGCACTAACATATTTCTGGCCGCGGTTACGTGCACAGGAGAAATAATGAGGCTTGGATTCAAAGCAGGCGCTGCTTAATGAAAGGCTGGTGAATATGAGCCGTACTTTAAAAAGAGATACCCTCTGATTGCAATAGCTGGGGAGAGAGAGTGGTCTATTGTTCTGTGGTGATGGTTCCATTTTATCGGGCTTCAGAAATGCCTGTCACGCCATGAAAGGGAATATCTTTTCACAGAAATAAGACATCAAAGAACACTTGATACTCAGACTCTGCTCGGATCAGACAGAATGTGAACAGTCTGCATTGTGCTGTGGCCAAAAAGACAGAATAGATCTTTATATTGTATTTGTGACAATGAGTATTAAAAAAAGAAGAAAATGGCAGAAGGCATTTTAAAGGGTGCCAAAGCAGCACCTACCAGGAGTTCTACCACACAYAAGCTTTATTCTATAAGGTTCAACATTAATGTGGGACTTTTATTTCGGAAGAATCTAAGCAAACAAAATGGTGTTTTATGTATAAAACCTGTATAAACTAGACACCGCATAGCGGTAACATAATGACCCCCGTATGCAGAAATGCACCAGAACTCAGAAGTCTTTATTCC